TTATTTTTTTGGCTTATCAACAGAAATTAGATCAAATATTAGTTTATTTCAATGAATTTTAAAAATAATATATTTTCCAAGAACTTTTAGCATTTTTAGATACGTCATCATATCTGACCCTCCTTTAGGAATAATTATATATAAAAAAAATAAATGTTACTATAAATTCAAGCAAACATTGTTACTAAATCATAATTTAAAACTTTTAATATTTTATATTCTTAATAATTTAAGGATTAGATATATATACTTGGATTAAAACAAATTTAAATTATGTAATGCAATACATCTCTTTAAATGGCTTGGTCGACTAAGTTTGCTATTATAATCACGGATATAATCTTAATAATGCGTATATTAGGGTTGGATTTAACAGATATAGTAAAATTCCTCAAAAAGAATTTGAAAAAATGTTTGTTTTGATTGTGCACGTTATACCAAATTGGGTTTTGTTTTATCCACACATCATCACGTGACTAGTATATACGCTAAGGCAATGTCTGAAGGGTTGTGGAGCTCGTGAACTACAAATGATTTATAAGTTTCTGCAACTAAAATCTGAAATGCATATGCAGTTCTGCAAATGAATTTTGTGAAGTTTGTATATAGATATGTTCATATAATCTGCAAGTAGATTTTTTATTTAGTTGCGGGCCTGCAATTAAATAAAAAATTGAATTTCAGACATTGGTCTAGGGTACTTTTCAAGCCACATTAATATAATTTAAATTTAGAAAATAATTGTTAAATTCTTTCACAATGAATTTCTATAGTCTTTGATAATTAATGATTACCAATTCATCTGTCTGGTAAAAATTCAATAAGACAAAAAGATAAAAAGAAAAAATGCAAAAATATATTCATAAATCCAATTAGGCTAAAGTAAGGAATCCTTATTATCATCTTAACGTCATACTTAGCAGGTTGACCCTCAGCCTGCACCTTTGGTTGATAAGAGAAGTATTATCATTTCTCTTTTAAAGTATATTTCAGGCTAGAAATTGAATAAAAATCAGCTGGTCGTTTATAACAATGTAAGAGAAGTTAGCTTATTTAGATAGTAAATTGGAAAATAGCGAACATAATACAACACCTTTTTTAATAAAATGTGTCAGATTTTAAAATTACATAATCAATTTGATTGTTTTGGTTAGCTGATTTTATATAATCAATTATATTAAATACAATTTCTTAGTAAGCTTTAAATTGATATAACTTCTTAAAATTAAAATAAAATAAAATCTTTTTTAGCCAAATTGTAGCTTAGACTTAAAGCTAAAAAAAAAATTTTTAAAAATTTTTTATTTTTAAGTTATATCAATTCTTGTAAAAAGATGCTGGTTTATGGTATCCCGTACTATACCAGGTGTTTAAAAGCCCTACCACTGATCTCTATTTTTTCAATATCTAAAACTTGTTTTCTTACTAAGTAAACTGCTGTTGAGCTTTAAGTAAAGTTGTAGAGCTCATCAAGAAACAACTAATGGTAGGACTTTATATATAGTATTGCAGGGTGATTCGTATGTTTAATTAGCTTATATACGAAAATATAGAATTTTTATAATATAAGGTATTCGTTAGAAGCGTAACGATTGTGATTTGACAATAATTTATTTTAGTAAATAAGTTTGACCAAGTGAGTTATTAAATATATTAGAAAGAGGTTATTAGAATTCTGTAGAATAATGTCTTTTAAGAAGGGCAAAATGCTAGAGCTTTTATAGCTTTAGCGAATATAAAAGATTCAAGGGCTTAAGGATGACTCACATATTATATCCTTAATGATTTTAAAAAACTACTTCTAAGCTAAGGGGCTTACAATGATAATTTACAACATTATTATTAGAATAAGGAAGGTTTTGTTTCACTCCTACAATCATTCACTTTACAGCCACTTCAACTACTATATATCTAAATCTTGTTATTCAGTCTTCTTTTATTTTTTCTTATACATTTTTTGTTCTTCAGATTTTATATTAGTTATTGTTTTATTTTTATTCGACTGATAAACCTCAACTGATAAACCAGTATTTCTTGAATCTATTGCTTTAATCACAGGTTTGCTGTGCCTAATTTTGTAGATTCTTTATTTTAGTCTGTGACATTTGCCCAACCTTATTTTATATATACCAGGCATAAATTATTATAATAAATAAATTAATAAAGTTAATAATATTTAAATAAAATAAAATAATAATAAAGTAAAGAGAAAAAAAAAATTGTTATTCTGGTATATCATCCTTAAGAGGCTACGCCATATCCCTGACCATTAGGAAGGCATTAGCTCGCTCACAACGAGTTTTGAACTCTCATCCTTTTGATCAATAGGTAAGCATTCTAACTCATTTGTCTATATCAGAATAATTACTAAATTTAAAAATCTAACTCCTTAAGTTTGTAATTTGTACAACTTGATAATCTAATAGAAAAATTTCTTAAAACCTTAATTTTACGAGATCTAAAAAATTAACTTTTAGTGATAATGTCTCAAAAATTTAAAAAACAACATAGACATCCTAAAAGACAAAGGTATATATATATAAGTTAATAATATATATATATAAAAAAATAAAACTAATAAACTAATTAATTGTAATATATAGTAAAAAGTTTGATAAAGGAAATAAAAAGAAGTTATTAATGAAGTACAACAAAAAAATAAAGAATTACAAATATTATCAGATAAGTTTATACAATTAGAACAAATTGTAAAAACTCAATCAAACAAATTTTAAGAACAAGAACAAAAAAAAAAGATCAAATAGATTATTTAACTAAATTATTATATATCAAAGAAAAAAATAAGTATAAAACAGCAGAAATAGAAGATTCTATGTATAATACTATTAGATATTTCAGGAAAGAATCTGCTAAAAAATCAGAAGAACTTTGAAAATTAAAACAACAATTAAAATAACGTGAAGAAGATCAAAAAGTCAAAGAAGCAGGAGAAAATTTTCGAAAAGAACGAAAAGAATGGTATTCCACAAATTGGAGACTAGAAAATTCAACTAATGAATTAAGAGTTGAATTAACTAATGAAAAACAAAGACTACAAATAAAATTAAAAGAAATAAAAGAACTAAAGAAAGAAATAGTAACAGTAAAAGAAAAACAAAAGGATTGAAAAATGAATTACAATGGTAAGCATAAGGGTTTTAACTTATAATTATTATAACAAAAATATTAACTTAAGAATTTAGAAGAGATTGGTGGATTGACCACATAGAAGAAGAAAACAAAAATCTTCAAGAAAAATGTGAAATGTATGAAGAAAGTGAACATAGTTGGGGAGAAGTTTCTGACAATAAATCTGATTAGAAAGAACAAGATATTAATATTACAAAAATCCTGATATGGGAGTAAGTAATAATACTGTTAATGAAGATGAAGATAGTATGCAAACAATTGGATGGAATAAATATTCAATAGATATAGAAGAAATATCAATTGAAATTGAAACTAAAGAAAATGAAAATAAAGATAATCTTGAATACTTAAATGAAATTGCATATAGAGAATGGGAACAAGAACAAGAGATAGATTATAATAGTACAGAGGATAGCGAAGGTGAGATCCAAATAAATTTTGAAGAAACAGGGGAAAGTAATAGATCTGAGATTTTTTGGTTCGAAAGAAAAGAGAAAGATTATAATAAAATAGAGGCAGAAGCTCATTATGAAGCTCTGATGAAATTATTAGATAAAGAAGATTCTTTTTAGTTTCATTGTATATATAGGGATCTATTTTTTTGTTATAGGGGAGTCTTATTCTAATTTCCAAAGTTTTGTTTCGACGACAGTGTCACGTGACGGCTGTGGTCATATAGGTATAGATAAAAAAAAAAAGTGTTCTTTGATCGTATGAGTGTTTTGTGATTTTTCAATCATTATTTATTAGATGCTTGTTGATCAACTTGGTAAGATAAGGTATGTTGATAAGTAACGTCGGGTATCTTGACCCCGCTAACAATACAAAGGCGTGTCCTGTTCTTGGTTGTATTTATTAAGCTTCACAGCTACAATGTCAGTGCAAGGACCCTTCGTTAAAATAAGTAAAACCCCTATCGTATTGTGAAACCGATTCTCTTCTTAGTTATAAAAAGTTTTCTCAGTTGTTTCTTAGTTATCTTCCTCCATGCTGAGATTATTAAGTAGTGGCGGTACAGGACGGCATGTAGGCTGACATAGATAACTTGTAACAGTAGTAATATAAATTCATATAGCTGTAACGGGTAGAGCTTGAATCGATGACTAATGGATTCATGTTTGGTATATCACATATCAGCTCTTGTATTCTAATGCGAAATTGCGAATTTTGCTTCTAGCGAAGATGGCTGCCTTTTCTTTTCGTATCAGTAATGGCTGAGTAAAAACTTAGATCTTATTGCAACTTGGATCCACAGGTTAAGCTAACTTCGTGTTAGTTATAAAAGCTTCATACAAAAAAAAATTTTTTTTTTTTTTTTTTTTTAACTATAATCTTTATATACTACCCTCCTGTCTTATGTGATTCTTCCAGGATCATATCTTATAATCGGGTCAGTAATTTAAAATCTTCTTGAAATTAGAGCGAGAACATCCATACGAGAAAATTGTATTGTTCATATTGTAAAAGTCCGAATAACACATATGAGTATGAATTTGCGTAGTATCAACTACCGAACGGCTGGAGGAAAAAACAATAAATAGACCAATCCAAGTGTTCTTGTCATTCACTTTCTTCCAGATTAGACCCCCAATTCGAGTAATTTCCCATTTAATAACGTATTCCGAAATTTTCTTTTCTTCTGTCTGTAAATCGTTCCATTTAATGTGTGGAAGTATTACATTTTCTTGAAGAGAAATAAAGTCTTCTGATTCAAAAGCCTTATCCAGATACTTTACTATAATATCATTGCTTATTTTGTAATTCTTGAGGCTTTTCATTTTGGAATCTTTTATGGTAAACGCATGAAAAATTTGAATGGAATCAATGTGCATTTTCTTTAATCAACTCCGTCAATATATCTTGATTGGTAAATTTGTTATTTCAAGATTCATAAGATTAGTTCACACCTATATATAAACTAAATAACCATCATGTTAATGGATTCGTAAGATTGGTTCTTTCTTTAAATCCCTAAATTCAGATACGAAAACTTATCCATACTACATATTGTCATATGTAGACTAACGATTCAATGATATATAAAAACTGAATAAATAATTAGTACGTATGAAATGATTTGAGGAGCATTACATAATAGTAATGGTAAATAAGTAATATGATATGGCTTTGTCCAGCAAAGCATCAAAAAGCTTAATATATATATATATATATTATTATTATAATTTTTTTTTTTTTTTTTTTTTTTAATTTCATTAATCAGGTTCAATCTCGCGCAGTACTTATTTACGGTAGCTAACCCCGCCAGTACCAGGCTAAATACGCGTCTGACAGGTCTGAACACACCCTCAATTTTCGCGTAGTACCTATTTCAGCATAAGCTCCGCCGGTACCAGGCTAAATACACGACTGACAGGCAGAGTACCTTTTTTTTTTTTTTTTTTTTTAATGTACACTATCAAGGTACCAATTTCGCGCAGTACTTATTTTGGTAGCTAACCCCGCCAGTACCAGGCTCAATACGCGTCTTATAGGTTGGACACACCTCCAATTTTCGCGCACTTGGCGACTTACGGGCAGAGTACCCTAACCTTGGTGTAGTGTATTATTTTTACTTTTTAACA